CCTAATTTAACTGAATAAATATTTACATATTTTTAATTTAAAGAAATGCTATAAGTTGATATATAATATGTTATAGAATGAAAATCAAAATCTTGTGCCATAACTTGAGAATATAACTACATAATATGCTATATACCTAATTTGCACAAAAAAATTATTGTCATTTCCTTATATGTCAAAAGTGATAACTAAAAATGAAAATCTATTTTAAAAATAAGTGACAAGTAAAAGTGAATGGAGATAATTTTATATGCAAAACATTGAATTTAATATACTCAAAAGGTAATAGAGTAATATTACTCCTATAATATTCTTAAGATGTGCGTCAGGCTAATAGCGGACAACTTTTACAAATTGCATAGGTGTGTCAATTTTTATTTTTACTAAAATGGTCACATGACTGTTATAATGTATCAATATTATATAAATAGTGTATAATTATATACCTTTAATGTATAACTATGTATATAAAAAAAAATATATTATATATACAATACTTAATATGTCAATCATTCTTTTTCTTTTTGTTTTCCTATTATTTTTGTTGAATGAACTTAAATCTCTTATCTTAGGGATACTTGATTTTTGAGGAATCAAAAGAAGACCAAATTTAAATTTCCTTGGCATAAGATTTTATGTTCTTAAAAAAAATTTGACTTTGTCACTGTTACAGTATATACATACTCAAAATGCTGACATTACTTGAAGAAAAAATATAAGAAAAAAACATCAATTTATGAATAAAATAAAATAAACATCTTAAAAGAACTCCACGACCCAAACTCCCACACTGACAAAGTTATAACACTAATAAATTACTTTGTATAAAATTCTGCGTACATCACTGGCTAAAATTATAACATTAATATCAATCAAACTTAGTCTGGCAGGGTAGCATGTTTGTTTGTTGTAACCTTGTTGGTCATACTATCTTTATATTCTCCATAGAAATAAGAAGCAAAACCCCAAAGACACATAGCTAAAGCCATCCACTTATCAGAATTGAAACTCTCAGGCAAGAACATAACAGCAAATATTTGTTGTATTGGAACAAGAAGTGCATTTACTATCCCTAACAATAGTGCTGAGGAGCAGAAAATCATCCCAAGATTTCCAATAATCATAATTTGTAGAGATATTGCTGTTAATCCTAATATCATATAGTATTTTCTTTGCCCTAATCCAAATTCTTCAGCTTCTCTAGTGATGGCCTGCATATTTTTAAGAAATCGTCAGGTTATTCAAATGATATTTATAAGTGAATATCCATAATATGTGGGATAGATGCAATTTTATAAATAACACAAGTTACCAGCTATAACAAATATGAAAAGGACTTGATAATATAAATATTCAATACATTGACGACGTATACATATATACATTGATCGTATGCATAATTAATGCTTGTACTATTAATACTGTCTATTTCTATGAATTAGTAGTAGTGCAATGGGTTCTAATGCATGCATTAACATTATAAAAGATACAATTGTCCTCGAAAACTTTTTTTACATCCTTTCCATTATATTTGTGGAGGATATTTTCGTAAACAAATATTTTTTCAAAAAATATTATGCAATGCATAATAATTTTTAGTATACCAAAACAAATATTACATAAAAAAGTTTTCATCATAAATAATGCAAACGTTAATAATATATTATATTTTTACATTATTCTTATACACTCTACTAAACGACTCTTAAGTGTCTTAGAGTTTAAAAAAATTAAATATTTTTGAATCTTATGATCTTAAAAAGCCATGTAAAATATTGGTATATTACAGATATCCTAGTATAGAAAAGGAACGATATTTTTTTTAAAATGAACTTATAAAAAAGTAAAATGCTATGATTGAATATATCCCCTTGATTCTCTTTAAAATTAATTAAATAAAAGTTATTTTTAACTCTTTAATTCTTTTTTTATGTTGCTCTAAATAATATTTCCACTAGAGATGCCACTATTTCTGCTTTACTATACTATTGATACTGCTTGATCATACTTTAAAAAGGAAGCCTTTTTTCTTACCCCACACACACAAAAAAAAAACTTTTTTAAGTGATCACTCTTATAAATTAAATTAAGTAATGTGATAGCTCATCATAACATGTTATAATATATTAAATTTCACTTTATCATTATACAAAATTTATATTTTCTTCTAAGTTATATAAGTAATTAAATGCTAAAATACAATTGGATATCGTACGTAATTATTATGATTTATGACTATCTACATGCATAATTATTTAAAAGAGAACTTAATAAAAAAAAATCATCCTTACCAATGCTTAAATTTTTAAATAAGACGGTTACCTGAAAATCTTTGTTGATTATCATTGCGACGATACAAAACAATGATGAGAACATGGATATAAGAAACTGCATTTGCATGATAAGATCACGTGACAACAACTCCAGCTTTAACATGACTATACTCCACTCCTGCATTTACAAATCCATGAAGAGCCGCACCAACAAGTGTCATCACAAACCCTAATGTGTATGCTCGATTCGATTCACCTATCGGACGATCTCCATTTATATGTAACCCTAATATTATCGA